TTGATTGATTTATTGTAATGTAATGTATTTTTAATTAAATATATAGAAAATTCTTGGTTATTTTAAATATATTGTTATGAAATTGATATCAATTCATAATACTTTTTTGAAGTTTCTCTAACACTTAACAATAATAAGTAGGATTAATTAACTTAAAAGATAACAACCATAATGAAAAAAAACATAAAAAACTTGAAAATTGTGATAACATAAGAAGTTCAAATCTCAAGATTCTACTCGTTGCCATATTATTCCCACAAATGTTCAATCAAATCTTCTTGTAGTTGAGAGCGAGTTGCTCTATCCTTAATTTGATTATGAGTTTGAAGAAAATCATGTAGTTCTGATATTTCACCATGTAACACTGATATAAAGGAATTAACTTCATTTTCATAGTTAAATCCAAGGTTCATTGCTCCTTCATCCTTAATAATCATATTATGCATTATTATGCAAGCTTTCATAATATATGTAAGCGTTTCTTCATCCCAGTATCGAATATGTCCATGTACAATTGCAAAACGAGATTGTAGCACTCCAAATGCCTGTTCCACATCTTTTCTTGCAAACTCTTGCTTGCTTGCAAAATATTTTCTCTTTGCTCCTAATGGTCTTGGGATTGTCTTAACAAAGACTGACCAATTAGGATAAATCTCATCTGCTAAATAGTATCCCATTGTATATTCATGCCTATTAATTGTATAATTGACATGAGTAGTACGACCTTTAGCAAGTGCAGCAAATATATGTAATCGATCAAGAACATTAATATCATTTAATGATCTAGGCATTCTAAAAAAAACATGCCATATCCAAAGATCTTGTGAAGCCACCGCCTTTAGAATTATAGTTAGTTCACTATAATGACCAGAATACATCCCATACCATGCAACTGGGTATTTCTCCCATTTCCAATACATACAGTCAATGCTCCCTAACATTCCTGGAAATCCACGCTGCTCTCCAATTGATAATAATCGGCAAATATCGACTTCATTTGGTGCTCTTAGATACCAATCACCAAAAACTTCTACGATTGCTTTGACGAAAGCTCTAAGACTTTCTATCACAGTGATTTCTCCAATTAGAAGATATTCATCAGTAAGATCTATAAGAATACTATATGTAAGTATTTTGTGAGCTGCAGTTACCTTTTAAAGGCAAGATAAACCAAGAACACCAAGAGCATTTGTCATTTGTTTGAAATATGGATTATGAGCTTTCACTACATTTGTGATCCAAAGAAAAAAGACGACGACTCATCTTAAATCTTCTTTGAAATTGACTTTAAGTGAATTTAGGATTTTCTGCAAAATAATCATTATATAACCTTAACTCACCTTCCTTTCTATTACGATTGATAATATTGTGACCAGGAATAGAGTAATGTTACTCTATTTTCCGCCCTTGATTATTTGTTTCTTCTTCAGCAACCACAACAGTAGTAACTTGAAAAGCAAACACAGGAGTGTCATCATCAAAATCAAAAGCATCATAAAAATTAAAATTAGAATAATTCATGATGAATTTTAATGAAATATAACAAAAATTGGAGAGAAGAAAATAATGAGAAAAAATGTTAAGGTCTATGAAACTATTTATAGATGGATTATTTTTTTAAATTGTAAAATCTTAGAATGTTGGCGGTAATGTTTTTAAAATTTAAAATTTAACATGTTGGCGGTTATGTTGGTGGTCATTTTTTCAAAGTTCCATTAGAATGCACTTAATCAAAAAAGTTATATTTATATTATTTAAAAAGTTATTTTTTTATTTGGCTATTTAATATAGTATTTTTCATTAGAGATACTTTTAAATATAGAAATCGGAACAAATGAAGGATTGGAGTTAGGATCCTCCTAATTTTTTCATCTGAAAAAAAAAAAGAAAAAAACTATTTGAATTCAATTGTGAATGTATAGATTCTGAAAAACCAAACAAAATATACGTGGTAAGAAATTATTGTTTTTTTTTAATACATAACTAATATAAAATATTAGTCGCATATCAACTTTAAACTTTTAAAGCAGATTGAATTTAATACTTAAAGTCTCAACTACATATCAAATAATCTAGCACATGAGTTCAATTTAATTTTTCTAAATCTCTTTACTTAAATTCCAAAACCAATGACACGTGCCAAAAAGTCAGAAACAAGTACATAAAAATTGGAGTGTTTATATATATATATATATATATATGTATATATTCTAGTTTAATTATAAAATACAAACTCAGTGATATATGACAATAAATCTAATTGAAGAAGCTTGCATAACACATTATGAAAGCATTGATCTTACCAATTACCATAGATCCTCAAAATGTTTTCTTAAATTACTAAATTTCACCACACAAATTAATATAAAAAAATAAAATTAGAAGTTGGGGTCTTCGGTGATAATTTAAAATTAAAATAATTTTGTTTATATTTTATTATAATCTGTTTAATATTGCTTGAATGTGTTTAGTCTGATTTGATTGATTTTATTTTTCTGAAACCAAAATTAAACTTGATCAAATAATTTTTTTTTAAATTTTTTTCTCATTTAATTTTATTTGGATATATATATAATTTTACCGGCCCATCAGTTTCTTAAACCGTTCTACCCATCATAGCGCGGCCCTAGACTGGTAACCGCTACTTTTTTTTTCCACTTCGGTTTTTATCGGTAAACAAATCTAAAAACATGCTGTTGAAGACAGCTCAGGAATAATTATGGGGTCCACCAATAACCTTGTGCAATAAATATAAGATGTCTCCTCCCCCTCTGATATTCCGCAATAATTTAAATACGCAATCTTTCTTTCTCTAACGAAGAAATCAAGCAGAGAAATAAAAGAAAATAAAGATGCAGATCTTTGTTAAGACCTTGACTGGAAAAACCATCACTCTTGAGGTTGAGAGCAGTGACACCATTGACAATGTCAAATCCAAGATTCAGGTAGACTTCTTTTCTTTGTTTCTTTTGGTTTTCGTTTTAATTTATTCTTTTGTGTTCCTTGTCTATAGTCCTTTCTTGGATATGGGTCCTTTTGTTTTTGATAAATATTCCGTTTCTTGATTATTGGGAAAAGCTATATTTGGTGCTGTGGGTTTGGTTTGTGCTGATATGAAATGGAAATGATGGGTTGTTTTCTCGTGGAATTAGTTATAAAATTTAGAGCTTTATGTGGGGTTCCTTTTCTACTTGCAATAATCATAGTATGATTTGGATGTTGCTGATAAGAGAATTTGTTGCTAACTAGCAAAGAATGCATGAACTTAGTAGGTTTTAATAAATATTTCCTTTGGAAAAACCTTTTAACATTGAGCTCAGCACAGAATTGTCAATAAGAATGGACTAGCAATAGTTTATTCATGATTTTCTTGTCATATATCGACAATCTTAAATGAATTCTTGAAAAAAATTAGTTGGGTTTTTGGATCTGTTTCCTTATGGAAAAGGTTCCGGTTTGAGTATCGGATTTGTAATTTCTTTATTTTGTTGGGAGTTGGTGAATTGGTGCTTGACAATTAGTGATGTGCATGGTTCAGGATAAGGAAGGCATCCCTCCAGACCAGCAGAGGTTGATTTTTGCTGGTAAGCAATTGGAAGATGGCCGGACACTTGCTGATTATAACATTCAGAAGGAGTCAACACTTCACTTGGTTTTGAGGCTGAGAGGAGGAACTATGATCAAAGTCAAGACTCTCACTGGAAAAGAAATTGAGATTGACATTGAACCTACTGATACTATTGATCGTGTTAAGGAACGCGTTGAGGAGAAGGAAGGAATTCCACCTGTGCAACAAAGGTAACTATTTAGATCTTATGCTCTTGCATAACTACTTTGAACATATTTTGAAAATTGCAATTCAATTATCTGTTTGTTGATGATCCTTCTTGTTGCATATATATATTATAAAAGATGGCAATTTGTCCGTGTTATTTTGGTGCATTCTGTTTGATTTCACTTCACTTAGTTGCTATCCTAAACCATCCAAACTATCTAAAACTATTTTGTTTGGTAAAATGGTCAATACATTTATCTAAACAGTGAATACAACCTTGCCAAAGCTAGGTGAAGGCTTGTTAGTTTGCTTCAGCGATAGTATTGTCCAGTTTCACTTTATGGACCTTGTTGCTTTCTTATTCTTGAATGATGATATGGTCCGCTATTACTTCATTCCTTCCGTTGACACTGGTTGCAGGCTTATTTATGCTGGGAAGCAGCTTGGTGATGACAAGACTGCTCGAGACTACAATATTGAGGGTGGCTCTGTGCTTCATCTTGTGCTTGCCCTCAGGGGCGGTTTTTGCTTGTATCATTAGGAAAATCTACTTACTGAGACTTCGTCTGCGATTTGTGGATTAATTTTATGGATTGTTTTCTCATTTACCTTACGTTGACTTGTTTTATTTCTACTATTATATGCCTTAGGCTAATAATACATAATCTCCTGAATTTTTTCAACTGGGAGGCGCGCTTATGCTTCTTATGTTTTACTGGAAAGGAGGGAAGAAAAGGTTCGGTCTTTAGTGCAAAAGATAAAGAGAATTTTCAAGTCAATTGGGCTCTTTTCTGTATGGCTTTGCTATCATTAGAAAAGTCTGCTCAAGTTCATAAGTAATTACTCTGTTTTTAGTTAAAACCTTTAGCTCGTTTAGCATAGCACTAGTTATAAGTTCTAGCTATCTGCTGCGGTCTAATTATTTTTGTTTTATTGGAAAAAAATTGAGGGATTGATTTGAAAAAAAAAAGGAGTTTTTTTTTTATATATATAAATCATTCTCACAAACGATAATTTGTGATCTCAGGTATGGGGAAAGGATTTTCAAGTGTAACTATGTATATGTCCGGGTCAAGAAACAAGTTGAGTTTCAAAAAACTTTGTATAAAATGCCACAATATTTATTAAGTTAATTTCTTAATATATGGGAATAGTCAGACATTGTTTGTGGGATGTCCAAGAAAGTAAATAATTAATATATAAAAAGAAGTTTATTTTCGAGTTCCTATTAGTAAAATTTAATTGATGTGCTCCTAAAGTTCTTAGTCTATGTCAAATTGTTCGATTTTTAAATTAATATTTAATCTCGTATATATGCTATCCAATTGAATTTATTAGTTTGTTAATAATTTTACAACAACAAAAATCACAGTTGATGCTGTGATAAATTAAGGTTTTTTCCCCTTATCATACAACAAAATAATTCATCAATATGGGATTGACGTCAAGAAAGAGTATATGGCTATTTCCCTCTACCACAATGTAAAGTTGCTTGAAATTAACACTAAATAAAAAACTTGGCCAGCATCAGTAAGTTAGCTAGCGTCCATTAATTTTATATTTATACCTTTTTTTTTCCAAACACAGAGGAACAGCATGTGATTAATCTGTGGATGGATCAATATATTGAACTTCCTAATAAAACGGGGGGAAATAGAAGGAAACTTGGGAGAATCAAGGCAAATTATATCCAAACCAAGCATTACTTGAACCGATATATAGGGGTCATGATCATCATTTCCTTGCCAAGCCCAATAGAAGGTAGGACAGGAGGAGGGTAGAATATTCAAGACCAACCAAATCCTATACAACCTTAGCCCAATTGAATCCAATATTTATACCACCCTCTCATTGATAAACAATCTTTCTTATGCGACCATGCGAGCCTTTCCATTAAAGGTTATTTCTAAGACTGGTCTAATTATACACCAACTTTCCTAACCCCCTATTGTTCCAATCAATAGTTGACTTTTAATCACCAACCTCTCAATCCACCAATGTCAAGCGTGGTATGCCAATAAATAACTCAACTTTTTAGTAAGATCTATAATATAATATACAAAATTATTAAACTTTTATCGACATCTTTTCACCAACAACCCTATTAATATTGTTAAAAAGATAAATCTTATGGGCTTCGAGAGTGTTTAGTGCTATGGTTAAACTATAATTTTATAATTTTTTTATGTTTTATTTTTTTATAGTTTTAGATTATTTTGATATGCTAATATTAAAAATAAAAAAAAATATTTTTATATATTTTCTAACAAAAAATATTTTGAAGAAAAACCATCAATATTGTTTCAAACACTCTTGAAATTAAAAATAAACCTAATTTTTCAAAAGTTTGATAAGAAAAAATAGTTTTCTTTTCTTTTTCTTGCAAATCAAATAAAAAAAGATCTTTAAAAAACAAAGAAACGATGAAATTATGTTTTTATATTATAAAGAATTAAAAATACATTAAATTAAAAAATACTATGGCCGTGAGCTTACTTATATGTCTGGTCTATAAAAACACATGGCTTACACCATAAAAGAGGTTTGGTCCACGAGCATGACCTTCTTTTTCTTCTTGTTTTTTTTCCCAACTACAAGACATTTCATTCACATTGTTTTTTTATTAAAGGATGAATAATGCATCATCCACCTTTTATTTTTTTCCTTGTTTTTTTAAATATTAAAGGATGGATAATGCATCATCCACCTTTTATTTTTTTTTAAATAAAATGTTAGATGACCAAAGGTCATTGAAAAATCAAACCCTAGATATTTTTTTTGTCAAAAAATTGATTTTGAATCCATTTTGACTCAAAACTTCTATGATAAACCCTAAAAATCTTAATAAACTCATCAATGACCTAAACAAAACCTAGAAAGCCTGAAATTAACCTAAAACAAAAAATCTTTCCAAACTTAGATTTAGTTTTTTAGATAATTTTAAGGTGAGAAAATATATAAGTGGAATTTTCTTTACCGAAAAAACTTGATGACATCAAGATCAATCATTTTCGTTGTTAGAATCAGTGTCAACAATGATTTTCTCCATCTATCGTTAAAATTTGACAACTTCCTCTCTTTTCTCTCAAATAAAGAACTAATCATATAAGAAAAATATAGTTTTCAACTAAAATTATTTTTTTGAGATTTTAAAAATTAGAGAGACCAAATATTTATAATTCAAAAGGTACGAGGACTACAATGAACAATTAACCAAAAACTACTTATTTTTCCTGCTATTTTCATTTTGATCCCATTTTTTGATCCTATATTTTCCTATCAAAATAACTTAAATTGACCTTCAATTTGGTCATGTGAGGGTGAAAAAAAAAGTTTCGGTATAAAATAATTGCACCATGAAAGTGTATAATGTAATGAGTTGCCCACGCCACTTAATATTTTTTATAATACTAGTTTATTGACTCATATTCCGCCACAATAAGATTAATTTTTTTAAAATGTAAAAAGATTTGTTAAGAACATGGAGTTTTGTGATAGTGTCATTAAAGCTAGCCAAAGGGGGTCAATCTTAAAACCTTAGATTTTAGCTCTTTGCCTAACTCAAGTTTTTAATTAAACTATATGGATAGTGACTCGACTTAAATTGATTGATTTTATAGATCTAAAGGTAACCTGAATTATTGATAAAAACATGGATTAGTTTTTTAAAAAACTTCAAAATGACAACCTTTTAAAAAAATATTGAAATAAAGACAAATTGGGTCAACCCCTGACTCATGTCGTAGCCTCTATTCATTTAATAAAAAAATTATAATTTTTTATTTAATTATATAATAAAAATAAATGCTCATAAAATTGAATATTAACCCTAAAAAATATATTTATTTAAGATTATGATAACCCTACAGAAGAGGAATAAAAATAAACCACATAGTCTATTTCCTAACTAATCCAATATTAAAAGAAAAAATCAAAGAAATAATAATAATTAAAAACATAAAAATGAAAAAAATAACATATTTGGTCGGTAGATAAACTCGTCAAACTTGTGAATTAGATTACCTAGGATAGCATACTAAACCCGTGAATCGGGTTATGGACTCCATTGTTGTTATGATTTATTTTTTAAAATTGTTTCTTATTTAACTATATGATAACAAAAATAGACAATCACAAAATTAAACACCAAATCAATACCGAAATATTTTTTCGAGACCATAATAATGAAACGAATAACAAACTAGATTTCCAATTAATCCAATATCTATAGATAAAATTAAAAAAAAAAGTTAATTTTGCTAGACCCGTGAACTATGTCAACCACTCAAACTTGTGAATAAGTCCATCAACTTTATAAAATTCAATAATATGATTTTTTTTAAAAAATTATTTTTTTAATTATATGAGAAAAAATTAATGATAATGAAATCAAGTTCAATTAAAAACAGAAAAAAACCCTAACAAACCTGTAAACCAGGGTAATTTTGGTTACCCTAATAAACCTGCAAACCAGTTTAATCTTATAAAAAAATAAAAATTATTATGAAATTCAATTTTCAACTATTTGAAAAATAAAATAGACAAAAAAAATTTAAAATAAAAATTCAAGGAAAAAACAAAAACAATACGCTTTAATGCAATGGATATAAATAAACAATAATTTCCACGCACCATTCAGCTTCTCTGTTAATGGTGAATAATATAATAAGAGGCTGAGAGCTATTAAAACTAAAAAGAGAGGCCAGAGAGCCGAATAATAAGCTGAAGTTGGTAGAGAGGTAAAACAAGGGCGGGCTTTCTTATTTCAAGGCTCCGGCCTCGTTCCACCAAGTTAAAATATTAGTCTTCAAATGCTATTTAGCCCAATCTCACTTTGGTATTTAGCCTGCTGGGCTCACTCATGACACCGTGGTTCATCCCTATCAAATTCAATTTCATATATCCTTGCTTAAAAAAGGAAAAGAAAAGAAAAGAAAAGGTTGCAAATTTGACAGGGATATTTTTTCAGATCCACGTGCATATTTAACTCAATTTTTACTCATCAAATAAATTATAATTCTCTTTGTTTTCATAAAAAAAATAAGATCAATAATTCAAGCTATGGCCATTAGGTCATAAAAGCTTTACTATCTTCAATTTTCTGTCTTGATTTTGTGAACACAAGATAAATCTTGACGGAAAGCAAGAAGTTCAACAACAATCTATGAACCATACAAGAAATAGAACCCCAAAAGTCGATCCATCTGCAACACAAAAGAAATACTTTCCTTTAGCTTTAAGCCATACTTTTTATCCAGATGTTTGTTGAGGTACCTGAGACATCAAAGGAAAGTTAGTCGACGTTTTATTCTCTATTATGTCAATATCCACCTTTTGAGGTCATTTTGTGATTCGGCTTCGTCAATCTCACGTTATTAAACCAAATTTGTGTGTGATTTCCACCTTTCATTTTATTTCTCTTCTTTATTTTGGCAATTATATATTTATCTCAAATATATTACATGATTTTAATTTTCCCACTTTACCTTAACCTGCCTTTGTGAACATGGCCTTCATTATATTAATTAGGTAGTAGTGTTATAGAAATAGAGTTTGAATTGTGCTTGTAGGTAGCGTTTAGTTATTGTGTTAAAATAGAAAAAACATAAATAGTAGGGGTAAAAACAAGTTTAGCTGAAGAGATACGGATAAAAATACAAAATAAAAATATTTTAAAGC